ATAACTATAAAAAAAAAAAATATATATATACATATATATATCTATATCTATATATATATATATATATGAATATATATACATATAAATAATATAAATAATATAAATGTATGTGTTCGTTGCGTTGTACAAAACGAAAGAGGGATAAAAGTTGAAAGAAAGAAAGAAAGAAAGAAAGAAAATTTGGAAGATAAAAAAATATGGCTAATACAAGAAATGGATAAAAACTCGAAAAGAGAAAAGATGATAATGATAAATATAAAGGAAAAAGGAAACGCGGAAGAAGGATACGAAAGATAGGGAACGCTTGGAAATATGAAAGAAAGACAAATTTAGAGAGAATCTTGATAGAAAGAAAGAAAGAGAGATTGAGAGAGAGAGAGAGAGAGAGAGAGTGTGTGTGAAAGAAAAAAATGGGTGAAAGATTGTTAGAGTGCGCCACCTCGAGATAGGAAATCAATCGAGGAGGGAACTGAACTTTTTTATCGAAACTAAAAGACTATAATAATATATTTCTGTACGCAGTACCGCGCAACTACGTCACTGTGTGTTCACATTGCATAATCCGATCGATAGTAAGACTCTCGTTACCGTACGCTCACCGTAGGCCACCTACATAAATGTACTGTCACTCTCCACCACTCTAAACCGAACGAATCCTGACGACACAACCTGACGACAAGCCTTAAGGAACGGACGATAAAAGATACTAATCTCAATGGGATACATTAAAAAAAAAAAGAAAAAGAAGAAAAGGAAACATTTCAAACAAAGTCTAAATATAATGCGAAAACTACTATCCAGTACAGTGACGAACGACGATAATGATGATGATAATGATGATTATAATGATGATAATGATGATGATGATGATGATGATAATGATTATGATGAATTTAATGAATGAATGCATTTATGAATTTCGACTGCTTATAAAATACCTGTCTAATTCATATAAATTACTCTATTCGAAATCTCATCATCCTAATAGACGTAGCAATATTAGTAAAAAAGGTATTTTTTTGAGGGATTATCACGGTGTGTCACCAAATCGTACAGGGTACTTTAATCCTCGAGGAGAAGAAGGAGGAGGAGGAGGAGGATATTTTTCGCATCATCGTACCGGCTTATAGCTGATTATCTTTCTATATTTTCGTGGATGAAACGGATATATATATATATATATATATCTAATACTTATATATCTAACATTCAAAAAGAAAATAAAATAAAAAGGAAAATAAAACGTTCGCAATATCACGTTATCATTATCTCACGCCGTCGAATTTCGATTATTTTTTTCTCGACGACGTTGCTGTCATTGTCATTATCATTATCGTCGCTTTTGTAATCACTCACTCACTCACTCACTCACTCACTCACTCACTGACCGTATTTACAGTCCAAGCGCGCAATACGAGAAGACTATAATAATGCCCGTTTCGTTTTTCTTCTTCTCCTTCTTCTTCTTCGTCTTCTTCTTCTTCTTCATCTACTATTATTATTACTACTATGACTACCCCTACTACTTTGGGTTTATTATTTTATTATTCTTTACATATTACCGTCGTGTTATGGTAAATTTTAATGCAATAATGACACACACACACACACACACACACTCCCGTCACCGATCTGCGAATTTAAATTTCATTCGCATCGTAATCGATCTTATCGAACGTTTCGATTTTTTTCTCTACGATCGAATCTTTTTCTACATTTTTTCTTCTTCTTTTTTTTTTTTATCTATTACAATGATATCTTCCAACTTCATGGATTTATACAGATAGACAGACAGACAGACACACACATGCGCGCGCTCATATTTATCTATTTTCTTTGATTTTATATTGTAAACAATTATTCTAAATCTCGTGTAAAAATTTGTTCGTACGAACGATGAGAAGTTTCCTACGCCGACTGAAATTTACGAAACTTCGTCACGAAAAATACAAATAAAAAGGAAGAGAGAGAAAAAGGATATCGAAACGTTTGGATAAGACTCGACGAGAGAGATTTTCCTAACTTTTTCTTTTTCTTTTTCTTTTTTTTTCTTTTTATATTATTATTCCTCGCGTTGTGTAAGATTAACTGCGATAATTTCTTTCTATAACATTACGAGCGAGTAAAGCCAACGTGTAAATAAAACGAATATTATTCATCAATCGTGCAAATAAAAAGAAAGAGGGAGAGAGAAAGAGATTAAAATGGATGGAAGGAAAATAATAATAAAAAATTAATTGAGGAGAAAGAAAGAGAAAAAAAAAAGATAAATTAATTAACAAAAATTAAATGAAATTAAATAAACGAAATGTTCGATCGGGTGGGGAGTGGGGTTGTGTGTTGTTCGATTCGACGTTTTTCGCGGTGAATTTGCTTTTTTTCTTATTACAAATTTTTCTATATACCTTATTCTATGTATTCGTCGATGTGTTTTAAAATTTTCTTACGAATTGCGCTAAACGATACTCTAAATAAATAAAAGAAGATAAAAAAAAAGGATAAACCGCGACGTGTTTGTGATATCTGATCGTTTCAACCGCGAAACAATAACTCGAGACCCGTAAAACAAATTTCGTTATTTGTTCAATTAGATGAATATATAAGCGAAAATGTTTTAAAAAAAAAAAAATAAAAAATTAACAAAAAAGAGAAAAATAAATTACATATACACGCATATACGCAGAAAAAAAAGGGGAAAAAAAAGAACAATGCAAAAATCGGCTGAAAATAAAATATTGTACGCTCGTGTAAAGGCCGTTTATTTTCAATAATCCGTATATATCGATCCTCTGATATATATTTGAATATATTAGATAGATTAACAAAATGTAAATTTGTATTCATTGTACATGTTCGATCGACCGCGATTTCTTCTTGCCTTAATTTTGCAGGATATGCTGATTTGCTATTCGCGATCAACGAGAACGATCGACGATTTTTTTTTCTTTTTTTTTCTTTTTTTTTTTTTTTTTTATTAGACTTCATCTCTTCGAAAACTCGCATTCATTTCGTTTTAAGATGATAACGTGATAACGGACGATTGCATTTATATATATATATATATATATATTCGATACTTATTTAATTAATATATTGAGAAAATGAGATTTGCCATTTGATCTTTTGATTGAACAAAGTTTGTATTAACGATACGCAACTATAGTCAATTCTCATCTGTACATAATATATATCTTGATTTCGATATAAAACTAAAAAAAAAAAAAAAATAAGAAGAGAACAGAAAAGAAAAAAAAATCAAGGGAAAGAAAAGAAAAAAAAAGGGAAATTGTTTTATAAATATTTATGATTAAAGACTGTCTTTTCATTTAAATATTTCGTCCATTATACAAACAAACAAACAAAACAAAACAAAACAAAACAAAATAAAATAACATTCCCTCTCTGATTCGATTATTTTATCGAAAACGTTTTTGAAAAAAAAAAAGAAAAAGAAAACGTCTATCGAAATCTCGTGATCGTGAAAAACGCTCGCTATTGCGCTCGAGAAGAAGAAGATGGAAAAGAATTAAAAACACTTCTTATACACTTAATGAAAACAAATTAAACACACAATCACACATCTACACACACACGCATATATACACACACACAAAACGCGCAGATTTAATAAAAAAAAAAAGCATACGTACATTCGAAGAAAGAAATAAATAAATGAATAAATAAATGAATAAAATCAAGAAAGAAGAAAATGAGAAGAAGGGATGAGATAAAAAATATAGAAGGAAAACAGAAACAAAAACAAAATCAACTATATATACACGGACCTTGGGCCTACTAGCCTAAGGATACTTGTCCATACTATAAGACTTAACTAACAATGGGATACTTCATACGATTTAAAACGATGTATATTATTCGTGGTTAAGGGATTGGGTGTAAGGGTTACTGTATTCTCCACACATCATCGTAACCTTTTTCGATACGTTCAATATGTTAAATACGTTCAATATGTTGTTATGTGGCATCGTTTTACATTTTCTTTTTTTTTGTATAAACTCAATGGACCCTCAAAAAATGTTCACCGTCTTCGTTACGAACCCTGTTCCTATTTATTATTATTATTATTATTATTATTATTATTATATTATTATTATTATTATTATTATTATTATATTATTATTATTATTATTATTATTATTATTATTATTATTAACATTATTATTA